ACCTCTTTGAACTTGGCAGCTTTGGAGTAGCATTTGTTTGATTGGATTATCTTTGTCAACTTACAGGACTTCTGTGAAAATCTGATGATGATGGTCATATTTATGCAGAAATATAGAAAATTCTTTCAAGCAGCACTGTATATATTTTTTTCTCACCTGTCTTGTCGGTCAGTTTAAGCACATATGACTTCATGTCCACCAGGTAATGATCAAACTCAGAGTCCAGAACCCCAAAGCAATCTTGCTCACTCATGTTCCTCCTGAATACAAGAAAAGACTAGTTAAAACATCCTGCACTTTATTGTATCCTTATGCAAATCTAGGTATGTATTATTGGCACATATTTTTGCTGATTATCAGAGCAGACAGCCATAAGAGACAGACATGCCATGATTTGTCAAACTACAGTATGCAGTCCAGTGACATGCTTTTAAAATTCTTTACGCTCCCAAACGGTTCAAACTGACGATTAAGTCATATATCTCACAATGCAGAGTTGTGCCGGTCACCGTGATATACTTTATGTACCATTTTTTTTACTCTCTTTTTATTGTAAGCTCAGATGCAAATACTCAATTTAATAACATATTCGGTTATTTGCTATACAACATTACAGGACTAACTGTTTTAATATAGATATATTTTTCTCTATCATTTTTACAGAACAGTTAATGTGCGCATTTTTACTTTTAATCTGAAGACTTTTACTCCCCATGATGCAGGAAAAGAGCTCATTATTTGTGGCTTCAGTCCGTTTCTGCCAGAAGCGTTTGTTTCCTAGCAACCATAAAATCGGTGTGAAACAAACTGATCACTGCTGTATAGTACATAATAACTGCCATTTATTATGAATGTGTGGCATTTAGTTAAGTTAGATTTTTAGGGAATTATTTATTTATTTGTTTATTTGTTTGTTTTCAAACAATGAATTGCATTTACTAGAAACAAGTAAAAGTCGTTAGCTATAGTTATAAAGGAATTAGCCGCACAAACTTTCTTAACTTAGGGTTTTGGGTGGTGGGTGGGGGGGCTGAGACGATATGAGAAATTTTATTTCATGATATCTATCTCTCTCTCTCTCTCTCTCTCTCTCTATATATATATATATCTATATAAATAGCCTACACAGACGTACATAGTTATTTTTTATATAAAAATAAAGCAAATTACAAACCATAAAAAATACAATATATACACATTAAATATTAAATAAACTTGTTTTTCAAATACAGTAGGTTTAACATGTATACTTCAGTTAACATCTTTTGTTGTTTGATTAACATTAATGAGACAGACAGGAATTTAATTGGGCTAATGTCCCTTTAAGACCGAATGAATATAATATACTGACACATATCCGGTTTTCACCCACCCCTTTACGTTCACTTAAGCCATAACCGACTGTATTTATGTGAGATACTCCACACGATCGACATTTTGACAGCTGTGTGTGTATTTAACAATTAAAGGGGTCATATGATGCTGCTAAAAAGAATAGTATTTGGTGTAAGCGGCCTACGGTGAGCAGAGGCCGGGGGATAAAGTGAGGAACTGCGGGAGGGTTAGAGTGAGCAGAGGCACGGGCTTGAGAACGGCGCGGCCGGCGATTTCGACGAAGGAGCGTCCGGAAGGACATGTGACGACTCCGGGCTGGACTCCGCTTCGTCCACGGTGAAAGCCGATCTGCACCAAGAGCTTGTAACACTCCAAAGAGAAAGGAAAAATTGAAATCGCATCATATGACCCTTTAAAGGCGCAGGCAGAACTGATCGCAGAACTGGGATCGCGCGGGCGCGCGGCCGAGACAGCGTTTCTGTGTGCCTATCTATCCCGCCTTCACTTACTCCAAGTTAATCGATACCGAATTGTGATTGGATGGTAATTTGGTTCTACGACAAGCATACTTACCAATAGGCTTGTTTGAGATTAGCAAAATCTGCACAGAACCGATCACCGGTGATCACCGCGAGATGCATGCCGGTTAGAAAAGTGTCCGAGTTACGTCCGACTTGCTCTGATGTCATGCTGACGTGTGCCAAAAAAGTCTCACGATGGCGAGGCGGCTGTGTCGGATTGTGCAGTCGAGCGCAGTTGCTCTCCACCGACTGCGCTGACCAAAAGCATGATGGGAAACTGTTATAAAAAATGTTTTATTTCTTTATCTGGTTTCATGTCATTTCAGTATTTAAATTATGCATGAATATTCCCAAACACTATGACAGAGCGATCTCTGTGTGAGATACGTGATTGTTGTCATATTTCTATAAAAATCTAAAATACATGTTTGTATTAAAGTAAATGGAAATGGTAAAATGGTAAAAGGATGATAAATACACCTTTCGTATGGAATTAAATAGCAAGCACTTTGAGTGTCTTGTTCATCATATTTATTTTCATATAAATGCAACAGAACTGAAATCATATCATGTTTATTAGCAACACAGCATGTAAGTGAGAGTAACGCGATATCTGCCTTTGATCTCGTAGGTATCTGCTCCACTTCGAAAGGTCAGAACTGTCCGTCTTGACTGCGCTTATTTCACTCCTCCTCTCACTGCAGCCGCCTACTCTCGCCTACATTTCAGGCGAGGCGCATCTCAAACAAGCCTCTATACTTACCTTAGATTAGACTGTTCTCGCGTGACAGAACACTTCTACTACTCGCTCTGATCACCCAGTCTAAAGAAATTTTGAAATACGGGACAAAACATGATTTTTTCAAAGTAAGTAGGGACACTAAAAAAAAGAGCTGAAATACGGGACTGTCCCGGGAAAAACGGGACGTCTGGTCACCCTATATATATCTATAAAATGTATTTAAAATACAAATACAAAATACTGTGTGGAAAAATGTTCTTAAATGTTAATTCTTGAATCTTAAACGCTTGTTTTGTTTACTGTGGATGGAGACATGCTGATATCGCGTTTGGTCTTGTTCTGTATCGCGTATCTTGTCAGTGTCTGCGCTTGCTTGGCCATTTGTTGTGGATTTTAGGATTACTGATAAACTCATCGTTAAGTCATTTGATTTGTATTATTTGTATTTGTTATTTATTTTAATTTTAGTTAAATTATGTCTGAGTTTATTATGTCTGTATAGGTCTTTTATTAAGTTTGTAGTTTTATTTCATTTGAGTTATTTTAATACTTCAACAAACTAAATGGAAATGAAATAATATATATATATTGAAGTTTTTACTGTAGCATTTTTACAGTCTTTTACCGTTAAATTCACAGTCATTTTTTACAGTGTAGTATTTATAAAGTTTTAGCTTTTAGTTTTGGACATGTTTTTAGTTGTTTTAATACTACAATTGATTGCTTCTGTTGTCCTCATTTGTAAGCCGCTTTGGATAAAAGCGTCTGCTAAATGACTAAAATAAAAATTACATTCGTTTTTTCTTTCAAAGCCTTTAAAATACAAAAAATAAATATTATTGCATTTCAAATACGTATTTTAAATACATGTATCTGAAATACTGCCCATCCCTGTCTATAAATATCCATTATTTAGCCATGCAAATGGTTGTAATAGGTCGACAGACTGCTGTTCGACTACGTTTTAACGCGTTTCCAACAGTACAGATGGCGTTTTTCTTATTTTCTTCCACGGGATGGCGTTATGCACCCTCGCATTGAGTGACGAATGGCCAGGCACGGTGGAGAGTGTTGACGTCAGTGTAAGTGAGAGAGGAGAGACGCAGAGACGCAGGAGAGACGCAGCTGAGCGCGTACAGTAGACGCGTCGCGCAGCGGAGGAGACACACACCTGAGGAATAGCGGCGCGATGGCTGATCATCTGATACAGATCAATGACTCTTCCGCCGCTGTCAAACGATTCGCGCGGAAAGGAGCTCTGCGACAGAAGAACGTGCACGAAGTTAAAAACCACAAATTTACCGCTCGATTCTTCAAGCAGCCCACATTCTGCAGCCACTGCACCGACTTTATCTGGTAACATACTCTGCATTCAGTACTCATGCATTACATGTGGAACTTTGAGAAATTGCAGTCTTGAATGTTTGGTTTTTACAGGTGTCAATCATTTCTTACTTTTATAGCGGCAAGCATAATACGGTCTTCCTCAGTAATACATGAAAAACTATTTTTCCTTTCATAGGAAATTGTGGTGCATACATGAATAAATTAGCATGATAATGTGTTTGCATTTTCAGTTTGTGAAAAAAATTGTGCTTTGGTATTTATTTAGCATATTGTCTATTTATATAGCATTTAAATTAATTAGTAATTTACTAAATTAACTGGAGGATTTGTTTTCATGAGGCAAAACATCTTAAAATGACTTACATGCACTCTTGAATGTTTTGACAGGTGTCAGTCATCTCTTTTATAGTGGCAAACATAATAGTCTTTCTCAGTAATACATGAAAAACCTCTTAAAATTACTTACATGTTGAAAATATGATGTTCGTTTTTTCTTTCAAAGCCTTTAAAATACAAAAAAGAAATATTATTGCATTTCAAATACATATTTTAAATACATGTATCTGAAATACTGCCCATCCCTGTCTATAAATATCCATTATTTAGCCATGCAAATGGTTGTAATAGGTCGACAGACTGCTGTTCGACTACGTTTTAACGCGTTTCCAACAGTACAGATGGCGTTTTTCTTATTTTCTTCCACGGGATGGCGTTATGCACCCTCGCATTGAGTGACGAATGGCCAGGCACGGTGGAGAGTGTTGACGTCAGTGTAAGTGAGAGAGGAGAGACGCAGAGACGCAGGAGAGACGCAGCTGAGCGCGTACAGTAGACGCGTCGCGCAGCGGAGGAGACACACACCTGAGGAATAGCGGCGCGATGGCTGATCATCTGATACAGATCAATGACTCTTCCGCCGCTGTCAATCGATTCGCGCGGAAAGGAGCTCTGCGACAGAAGAACGTGCACGAAGTTAAAAACCACAAATTCACCGCTCAGAGTGTTGACGTCAGTGTAAGTGAGAGAGGCGCGCGCTGTAACAGGAGAGACGCAGCTGAACGCGTACAGTAGACGCGTCGCGCAGCGGAGGAGACACACACCTGAGGAATAGCGGCGCGATGGCTGATCATCTGATACAGATCAATGACTCTTCCGCCGCTGTCAAACGATTCGCGCGGAAAGGAGCTCTGCGACAGAAGAACGTGCACGAAGTTAAAAACCACAAATTTACCGCTCGATTCTTCAAGCAGCCCACATTCTGCAGCCACTGCACCGACTTTATCTGGTAACATACTCTGCATTCAGTACTCATGCATTACATGTGGAACTTTGAGAAATTGCAGTCTTGAATGTTTGGTTTTTACAGGTGTCAATCATTTCTTACTTTTATAGCGGCAAGCATAATACGGTCTTCCTCAGTAATACATGAAAAACTATTTTTCCTTTCATAGGAAATTGTGGTGCATACATGAATAAATTAGCATGATAATGTGTTTGCATTTTCAGTTTGTGAAAAAAATTGTGCTTTGGTATTTATTTAGCATATTGTCTATTTATATAGCATTTAAATTAATTAGTAATTTACTAAATTAACTGGAGGATTTGTTTTCATGAGGCAAAACATCTTAAAATGACTTACATGCACTCTTGAATGTTTTGACAGGTGTCAGTCATCTCTTTTATAGTGGCAAACATAATAGTCTTTCTCAGTAATACATGAAAAACCTCTTAAAATTACTTACATGTTGAAAATATGATGAGATATTTTGTAGTAGTGCCACTGCATGAAGCCACTTTATTTTATTTGGCACTGTTTGTTTTGTATAATTTGATCATTTATTCATTCATTAGTATTCCAACAGGCTTACATGTTATTATTGTCATACATTTGCAATAATAATAATACTAAATACATTTAAATCATTTTAATAAATCATCATTTCAATATGTTTAGTATGTTTAATTTAATCTTAAAGACGGTCGGTTACAGATAATGATAATGAGCTGTTAATGCACATTCACAAAACCATTTCATGACATAATTAATCTGGATTTGCTGAACAGATGTTTGGTATTTTTCAAGCATATTAATACCTAAATCCTGTTGTAATAGTCTTCAACCTTTTACAATCATTAAGGTTAAAGAGTTTATTTTGCACATTAAAAAAAAAAAGAAAATTCCTAGGAAAGGGGGGGGGAGTTGTTTTAAAACAATGAAAGTGATGCAGCTTTGTCACTAACAGTTTTTTTTTCTTTCTCAAATGCAACTCTACAGGGGATTTGGAAAACAAGGTTTCCAGTGCCAAGGTACTGTGTGTGTGTGTGTGTGTGTGATGATTCTATCACTGATGCATGTACTGAGCTTTACCAGGGTTTACTACTCTACTACACTACATCAGGGTAGATGAGGACGTTCAGTACAATCATGTTGTTTATTTCATAATTGTGGATGAAATAGGAACACATAATCTGGATAATAATGTGTCAAGTACTGGCCTTGCCAGAGCTCTGGCGTTTTTGTAAGGGTCTTTGGCAAATTTGTTTAAGTCTTGGCTCTGCCATGTCATTGTTGGCTTCTGATAAATAGCAGGTCCCACATACAAAAGGGTTTTGAAGAACACTACGTGGCTGTAAGCTCTATGTCCAGTTTTGAATGTCCAGAATTCTGTGCTTCTGTTCTGAAATTACAACATCCTTGTGAAGAACTTGACCATCTTGCACAAAACCCAGACCTGAACCCCAGTGAACACCTTTGATGAATGATGATGAATGATGAGTTAGAACAGGAAGCCAGAGTCACGCGCTTGACCTCAGCTAATAAGATGGTTGTCACTAACTGTATCCCAAAGGTCTACCGGTCGTTAGTTAGCTTTGCATCTGATACGAAGATTACAAATAAGGATATAGGATGTGCAGAAAGTTTGTAGCTGAAGGATCTAAGGATCCTTAAATGCAAACGGTGTGTGTTGCATCAAGAGAGTTTGTGTTGTGTTTTTATTTAATTTATAATCATAATCATTAGTCATTTATATAATTTATTATTTGATTATTTTTATCATTTATCATTTTAGCATTTATATCAATGATTCCTTTATTATTTTTATGTTTTAATATTTTATATTTCTTATTATTTTTCTTGCTTATGCATTTTCATTGCTCAATCTCATGATTGTGGGGTTTCATGAACTGTTTTGTCTGTATGAGTAAGAGATAAGAGGGAATGTTTATGGAAATCCAAGGTTTATGGGATGTTGTGAATCAGTTGATATAACATTACTTGTTCAATTTGTGTTCGTCAGACGAAGTCTGAGCCTTGAGACATACGCAACTAAGATTGTACAACTAAGATTGTGCAACTACGATTGTACTCTGTTCATTTTTTTAATCATCATCACTTCGTCTCCTGCTTCTGCTCTTCTCTGGTTTTACTCAGTCAACTTCTTGGCTGATAGAAGACTGTTAAACATTCGTTTTGGGTATTTGTGGGTACCAGTCAAGACTTGCTGTTAACAGGTTTTGGGTATCGACAGCTCTGCCGAATAGTTGTTCTGTTACCAGACAAAACTGATATTTTCTGACAGGATCAGGCGTCCGGGGCTGGATCTTAATTATTTTAGCGTGGAGTCTCGATCTATCATAGCTTTAGACAGCTGTAGCTTCTTAAAAAATTAACTGGCATAAAGCCATTCCAAGCAGGTCGAAAGAAAAAGATGCCAGGTAAGCAGTCTTAATTCTCAAGTTCCCTGGACTATTAGACCGTGTCCTAACCAGGTGTGACAAATCAAGCAATTTGTCTCTGCACACTGAAAGTGAAGTGCTGTGTAATGTGACAGCAAATCAAATCATATTTGATGTTTAATATACAGTTATATGCAGTGAAATGGACATCTCATCTGAGATTTCACTCAGGTTAGGGCCGACCAGTGCAACACTCCTGAAATTGAAGTGGCCAACAAAGCGAGTAAAACTAACATTGCTTGTCCATTTCTACTAAACTTCACCCGTCCCCGAGATTTTAACACTATTTAGAGTAAGGGTCTCCGATCCTGCTTCTGGAGAGCTACTGTCCTGCAGATTTCAGCTCCAACCTCAGTCAAACACAGCTGAAACACCTAATCAAGGTGTTCAGGGTTACTTGATACTTACAGACAGGTGTGTTGGAGCAGGGCTGGAACTGAAGTCTTTAGGATGGTAACTACATTTTGCAACCAAACACACGTCACAATTGATACGGGAAATAATTCCTGTCAAAAACGGTAGCACGCAAAAAGCTTGCAATCCAAGTTGTCTGTGCAATGATTTGCAGTGAAAAATAAAACATAAACAAAGAAGAATATGAAGGAGAGAATGGTTGCTTGCTGATGTTGCAGGTCTATTATGACTCCTCCCCCTGAACTTTCCCTTGCCCTGTATCTTGCTCTCATGCATGGTATTTAAAAATAAAAAAATAAAAATTAGGGCTCAGCACCCCTAAAACCATATCAGTACTTAAAAGGGGAATCTTTTCATCTTGGCTCTTAGGAATCATTGAGCTGAACTACAGGATGAGACAAGAGCTGGCAGACTCAGATGGTCACAGATGGCAAAGGTATTTTGTGTATCATGTTTGTGTATCTTCCTGTCAACTGGACATTTGCCATGGAAGATGGTCAAGTTTTTGAGGATGTGTGGGTACATCAGTGAATATATTTCCAAAGACCTCTGCAGTGTTGGACCAGACACATACTTTACATAAGTACATAAGACTGAATGGCTGGTCAAAGCATTGTAAGCATGCAGTCCTGATGTACATGCTTAGCATGCATTCCTTAGTCCTATCGGGATTTCACAGGACTTTTCGCAGCTCTTCTCAAAAATGCTGATGATATTTGCAGCATTTTATAATGACAAGAAAACTGAACGCATATTGAATTTTTTTTTAGACTTGGAATTATATATTTTGATTAGCTAAAAATGCTTTCCCAACTCAGAAAATGTTTTTTTTTTCTTCTAAGAATAAGACAAGAATGCAAACTGTCGCAAATGATGTGATGATTGGTTGAGTTTGCATTCATTCTTGCAAACACAAAAACCCTGGAGGGACTAGAATTTCTGCTTTAGTGTGCTGGTAACAAACTTCATTACAAAGGAGGCCAGCAATAAAGTTTCCCTCAAATATCTGTGCCATCGTCAATAGTGATGTCCACAGCTCACACAGAAATCACTTTCAAACCAAGCAGCTTTCTGTTGGTCAGCTTTTTGTTTGCGTGACCAACTTGAACATGAGTGAACTTTTTTGCCGTCACGTGACACTCCCGAACACACAGATTCAAAATGAAATGTCAGCAAAGTGCCCACAAAATTGTGCAGAGCAACAGTAAATTTGACCGCACCTTTAGTGCAATTATCAGATCGGAAGAGACTGTGATTTAGTCTGATGCACTCTGTGTTTCTGAGTGAAACATGGCATTGTGTTTATTTACAATGGCTACGTTTACATGCAACCAAATAATCCGTTTGTAATCGGATTGACAGCTCAATCGGACTGAAAAGCCTTCATGTAAACACCTTAATCGATCCGATGAAATTTCGATCGGATTGAAGGGGGTGGTTTATTCCTTTTCTAATACAATTGAGAGTGCATGTAAACACTTGATCGGATTGAACCCCGAAACTGAAAGGACTGCGCATGTGCAATGACTTAGAAATAGCGTAATGACATATGACGCGCAGAACGAGCGCTTCTTCCTTTTGAATAAAGTGTTGTATAAATGCGTGCCCTGTCATAATAAAACTCTCCTTTCACTCGGCAACTGTGAAGTGGAGCAGGACAACCTCCCACCAGTCCTTGTTTTGGATTATCATCCACAGGCAACCCGTTTTGGCTGCTGGGAGGGACATTTTTACTGCGTGATAAATATGAGCAGCAAGGCACAGCGGTTTATATGTATATTTATCCATAAATGGATAAATATTAATTCTGCTGTTAAAAACAAATAAAGAAACAGTGTAGGAGAGTGGTTATTATGTGCAAACCGTGAGAAACTCTATATTTGTGCAGTGTGTGCATGTAAAAAAAAAACAAAATTCCGATTTGAAGCTTGTGACATATAAACACGCACATCAACCCGATCACTGCATTTAGCGTTCATGTAAACACTACATTCAGATTCATCAATCGGAATGAATTCAGTCCGATTGAACCAAAAATTGTGCATGTAAACATAGCCACTGTGTTCTGGTGTTTTCAGTAGTGCAACGGCTCTGTTCGCAGTAAATGCTGCTCCACACAAACACCATCTCTGCTGTGCACCTCAGTTAAAGTCTGCATGAAATCAAAAATGACACTATTTAATCTTTAATTCCAATCCAATTTGAAATCTGAAAATTTTGCTGCGAGCAAGAGATGGCAGAGAGATGCGGTAAAATAAAACCCCGCCCTCTAATCAATATTCCGTTTCATTTGGAAATACATCACAATGCTGAAGTCGGTAGCATTTGGTAACTTGCATTTGGCAATGCAATGTGCGCCAGGATCACTTTATTTTCAACATTCCTGTGTACATTGTCTTCAGCATTTTCCAAATGTGTGCACAAATTTTGCTTGCTTGCCATTAATGCCATTATATAACTCACTTTGGAATATAAGTTGCAGCACTTCTCAGATGATGAAAAACATGACATATTGCAGAAAATATGGTGCTTATGTAATAGTGCATTTATGACTTTAAGCAACTGAGTTGAATTGTACATTTTGAAACTCAGCGTGACATGAAATCAGTCCTACGTAGCACAAACGTAATGGAAGTCAGCCTACAAGCAAACATTGAGGTGAAAGTCCCTTAGAGCTTTTGGCGAGCATGTCATGCGACCCTGTCATAACTGCTTCCTGTTTCCAAGCACCTACCACATGGTTACATAGTCTGAGTCCTTAATTAAGTGTCATTGCAGTCAGCATGTATTGCTCCAGCCAACTGTAACCTCTGTTCGTGCAGTAACCTGCCTGTCTGCATCTACTTCTTAACTGGAGAATGTATTGCATGCAGAGAAGTGAGGACAGCATGAGAACATGAAGAAAACTGGCTAAAACAAGCGCACTAGCGTGCTCTGAACAGGCTGACGGTAGGGCAGTTGGTGAGCTCACAGATGGCTTCACTGATGGAGGGTTGGCCGTGGGAGCTGGTTGGTGTGCAGTGGAGTGGGAAGCGAACATGAGGGCAGGGCCAGAGAGTGCATGTTCTTGGAAGGATTAGGGGGATGTGTAATGGTGTGTAACAATGAAAAGGCTTCTGATACCTGACCAAGAGCTTTGAGACTCGTGACGAGGG